CTTTCGTTGACGGTTACTTGGCCCCCTTCCCCCTATAAATGTTGCCTGCTTTTGTTGACGGTACAAATTTGACCAAGGTTAGAATCGTTTCGTGCTCGATATGATTCAGATACCATTCGTGTCCACGTTACCGCAAGTTTCATTTCGTACTCTTAACAACTATCGCGTGGTGCTTTGTCGCATATATTAGCTTGCTACAACTAGTTTTGTAGTTTTCTTTCTGATGCTTAATCCGCAACGTATTTTGAAATGTCATTTGAAAACAATTATTGCCTAATCGATCACATCTCCATAGCATGTCTCCTTTTGTTTACTGTATTTCCCTTATTTTCTCTACTGCGTTACCAAAATTCGCACATGCATAACCCGCCATTAACACCGATCCCATATTGCGGGATTCTGGGTCTCATGCTTTCTGTCATTCATCCCAGAATGTACTTAATTCCTAAACATAAGTGGTATAGTTGCAGTGCCTCCATTTGATTACTTATGGACAATTCTAATTTACGAGAAATGGACTGGCAGGTAAACATTCTTCGGCGAAGCTCCCGGTTTCGGTGGACGCCAATCACTTTCCAAATTCGCATCAATTTATCAGGTCAGGGACTCCATTTGATACCAATATGATTGTGTAGCAAGTCACATATCCTTTTTTACCAAACCACCTCACTTTAATTCTTAATGAACATTTATCTCTGGTTGTCATCTACTTTGATCAAAGAAAAGCCTTTCAATTAATCTCAACACCTACTGGGCCGTTTAATCGTCGTCTATAAGTAAAGGAATAATTCTCGAATTCCAAATTCAAAGGTTTATTTAAAACGCCAAACACATCAAACTCATGTAAAGAATGTCGATTTGATGCGCCTTTGTGTGGGTACACTTGCCGCTTAAACAAAAAAATAATATTCACTCAAAAATGGCACTTGAAAGGTGCTTTCAAAGGGCGGGCGGGGTCTCAATAATCGTGAGTGGCTGCAAAAGCTTCCTACTACAATTGACATTGCTTGACTCCGCGCTGAAGAACTGCCTTTTGTAGAAGTTTTCCTGTATTCACCAGAGCACGGTTCTTCCAGGCGTTTATTTCTGCTTTAGGAATAGAGCGTTTATGTGCATTTATGATTGAAATAATATTTTGAATTCTGAGTTCAGCAAGCTTCAGGATGTGTGTTAAAAGAGCACTATATTCCGACAGCTTCTCCTCCAGCATGACGTTGAGCACCGCCTCCGGAATGGCCATCTCAACATGATCTAGCCTGGCGGGCAGCAAGCCGACTGATGGTAGATGTGTTTGTGACCTGAAATATAAATATAAAAAAGCTATTTATAAGTAAATGCGAAGGTAATATTAGATCGTCTGAACTCAACTTTGGGATATTAATGACAGAGTTATACGGGTTAAAGAGAAAACCTCGATTAAATACTGAATGGACCGAGGGTTTATCCTTAACTCACATCCGCTGAATAAGAATGTCGACACGTGAAGTCTGAATGGTACACCAAACATCCTTGACGAGCGCTGCACTTTGAACGGTACGGCAATCCGGCCTCGCCCGTGTCGCACTGATCCTCATGTCAAATGTATCCCAGCCGCTTCGAAGAAAGACGTTGTCTCTCGTGAAATACTGAATTGGATCGAGGAACTTCTGCACAACATGCGCAACTTCCTGGGACTATACGTGAACATGATAAAATTATAGAAGCGATCATATAAACGGTACATAAAACAAGAAAGTGCAGCACCTGAATTCCCTGTATTGTGTACCAATTTAGGGGAAACGAAATCTTCTGCATACCTTCTTTCAACGAGCAAGCAGAATTTGCTCCAGTGACACCCTAACCGTAGAGCTTTCCTGCATCAAGACTGCCGTGGCTATCTTGCAAGCTTTATTCAGAAGTACACTAATTGCGAAAAGAAGACAATATGCGAGTTCCGGAAAGCAGTAAAGAAGAAGAAGATGCGGTAACTGGATCAATAATTTTATTTGCCTGACGTTTTGGATTCCCTCGGGAATCCTTAATCATATGTGATGATAACATCGTCATGGTCATCCGCAGATGGGGTGGAGACATGCACAGACTGAACGGTATTTATAGTTCCTATTGGTCATCTGCGTGTGTGTGATAATGGTGCACTTCTGTATCCACCGCTTGGGTCTTAATTGATGCGGCACTGGCTTGACACTTCGAGCTTGACTCACTAATTGCCACAATTGCCTTCTCAGCGTCGCATGCGGGTCTGATAACTGCGCCAAAATTATGCCCCATGTCGTCAGAGTTGTTGTTGCCCCCGGCCCTTCCCGCATGACTGGTTCTCGTGCTTAGGAAACTTCTCAGTACACCGTATGGGAACGCGAACTCGTTGCGTTTGTCGATGGACTGGGGGCCTGAGAAACATGACTCGAGCGGCTCGCGGCTCATGCACTTGTCATCTCTTGCGAGAGGAAAACGATGAAGTGAAGAATCGCTTTTGGCACGCCCAAATCCACAAGCACCTAAAGTTCTGCCTCAAGACGTACTTTACCTGCAAGGGAACAATCTACGAGCAAGTGAAGGGCGTGCCAATGGGTTAGCCCCTTTCCGGACTCATAGCAAAGGCGGTCCTGCAACGGTTGGAGTCGCGGGTTTTCTGACACCACAGACCGAAATTCTGGGCTCGGTATGTGGACGATTACTTCGTCGTAATTGAGCGGGATCAGGTGGTGACCCTCAAGGAACGTCTAAACGCCATCTTCCCGGACATTGAATTTACGATGAAGGAAGAAGAGAACAAGCAGCTGGCCTTCCTGGATTTCGTCATTTGCCGCAAAGACGGTGGTGCCCTAAAAACTAAATTTTTCAGGAAAGCAGCCAACACTATGCAAATCCTGAACTAAAACAGCAACCACCCAATTGGTCATAGAAGTAGCTGCGTAAGAGCGTTTAACCGGTGTGTTGAGACGCATTGCAGCGAAGTGGAAGACAAAGTTGCTGAATTACAACACCTTCGACGGGTACTGACAGCGAATTTTTACCAGCGCAATTTTGTCAACCAATGCATTCGCAAACAAAGAAGAAACCGCATCCAACTGGCCCAAAGGTTTGGCGAGCTCTTCCGTACGTGAGGAATGTCT